GAAAGATTTCTGCTACAATTTCTGTAAACAGATTTTTATGCCAGTCCTGTTAATCCTTTGTTAGTTTTCTTTGCATCATCTTAGCAGCTTTGGGATCCGTTTCCCTCCCCTCTTGTGGTTTTTAAGGTATTCCAGAGTATATGGTCACATTCATGAGCCCTGTCTCCTACTTCTTATTCTGTCTCGTTAGTGGTCACCTCTGTGCCCATTCTTTTAATAGAATTTTCTATTTCTGGTTTTCTATCTAAGTGCTGTTTCGTGGACTCTAATTATTTGCTAAATTGTTCATGATATTTTGGATCATTTTGGTTAACTCTGCTATTTTATATCATTTTAAAGTTCACTGATCAGTTTATTATTTCTGTTGTTTAGTTATATCATCTTTGCTCTTGCTGAGTTTGTTTCTTCCTTTATCCTTTTTTATAATTCAATTTGGCTTTTTTAGTTCCTCCCCATCAAGGCCTCTTGGATCTACTTTAGGAGAGTTGAGAGTTTTTGAAGACATTTTATTTTCTTGTCTTCTCTCTCTCTGTCTCTGTCTCTCTCTGTCACTCTCATTCTCCCCCCACACCCCATGTCTGTCCATGTGCACACACACACTCTAGGGTTGAGGATCAGAGTGAAAAGACTTTCTTGCTAGTATGGAGATCTCTTTAGTGTTTTCTAGTGATATCATCTCGGATTTATTTGCTTGTTTGTATGTATCTACCTCTTTTACCTACTCAGTTTAATAGGACTAGATAGGGTCATTGTGTTATAAGAAGAGAATCCTTATGGGTTATTACAGCATCAACTGATCCCACCATAGAGCAGTCATGTACATTAATACTTATTTTGTTTTGTTTTATTTTTGTGGTACTGGGGATTGAACTCAGGGCCTTGTGCTTGCGAGGCAGGCGCCGGAACCACTGAGCTAAATCCCCGGCCCCATTAATACTTATTTTAACAATATCACCCTTTTATTGATGTCCCTTTCAAACTATATTATACTGCTGCTAACAATTAGACAGGGATGTAGAGGGAGGAGGAAAGAAAGATGGTAGATCAAAAGGAAAGCGGTAAGTCAGTAGAAAGGGAGAGAAAAGAAGTATTAGTAGGTTAAAATTAGATAGGAGATCAGACTCAGTTGTAATTCTTTTTATTGCTGATGTCAAGGGCTTATGTTTAGTGGGTTTGAGAGATTATTTATGGTAGTGGGAGGAGGGATGCATAGGGAAGGAAGTGTAATTAAAGACTGAGGGAAGCTTGGAGATTGTCAAACCTGTTATTAGGTTAGTAATTTGTGTTTGCTTCCTTTTTTGCATGATTTTAGTAAGGGTTCCCATGACCTACCCATGAAAGGTACTATTTAAATAAAGCATTGGTGACTTCTTGTTCCAATTTCTCATTTATATGCTAGACAGAAGGAGGGAAGACAAAGAAGGAAGGTAAGGGAATCAGAGTGAGAAGAGAAAAAATTAGAAAGGGAGGAGAATAAAAGATAAAAAGAGAGAGAAGGAAAAAAATTTTAAAATAGCAACCAAAAAATTTATCACACAATTGCAAAAGTACAAAATCAAAACATCCTCACAGTCTCATTTATATTGCAATTGAAATTTACTTGCAGATCTCCAAGCTGGTCCCTATTCCCAGAGTTTGCTTAATTGCCTGTCTGTGAGCAAGGAGACTTGTTGAACTGGATGACTCTCTGTGCCTACCTCCTGGTTACAAGCAGTGCTCTGGGAGTAGCTAGCTGTACATCTTTGTTTTCTTGGTTCCCAAATCTGACTACTTCAGTTAATTTGGCAAGGAGAGGGTGCAGTGTAATTGGCCTAGCTCCCAGTTCTCCATTCACTTCTACCAGGGCATCTTGCTCCTGATTCCTTTCCCTGCAGGGCAAATCCCGTGGTTGACTCTGTTTTTCCCTTCACTGGTACCTGCTGTGGGCATGGAGAACACACAGCATGCCATGTAAGCACACCACTGCCCACGTATGGGGAAGAAGTGACTGAGCAGTTATTCCTGAGTCTTGAGGGCCCTGCTGCTTGCAAATACTGCTTGCTCATGCAGCCATCAAAGAAAGTTTTCTCAGCACTCAGATTTGAGTACCTAATTGATCCTGCCACTCCCAGTGGCTGTCACTAGTGCAGGCAGCCAGATTTCTTTGTGTTCAGATTCCAGTTCCTACAGGACCCCTCCAGTCCCAGATGCTGTTCACTCGCACAGCTGCTGGGCTGCAGTCCTCTCAGCTCTTGGATTCTGGTTCCTAATCTGATTGGCATGTTTTGTTTTCAAATTTTCAAGATCCTGCCTACATCCTCTCATACACTACATTCTGGCTTTCAGTAACCCTGAAGCCCTAATTTCCAAATATCATATTCTCTTCCTCTTTTTGGTGAGGAGAGTAGAGTGATTGGGAATCTATTTTATCAGGTAGGCCACTGAAATCAGGCTTTCTCAGGGAGCTTGATCTTCTTGCAAGATAGCCTATATGCTGGACCTGGGGTGTAAGGGGTGCTGTGATCCAGGATTGGTGCAGTTTCCCTTTACTACCCCCTCCAAAAAACAAACTTGAATTTGTTCCAGTGAGTTTTTCTTTCCTGTCATCTACCAGTATCTGGCTTTATGTATAGATCCTCTGTAATTGTGCCTGGTTTCATATGGTACAAGACTCAGAGTCTCCCTCCCTTGCTCTTACAACCTAGCTGGCCATGAGGATCTCCTTCGGAAACTGAAAAACTGAAAGTCTTGCTCCTTTTTGCTAGGCAACGCTTGTAGAAAAAAAAATTTTTGAGAAAGAAGAGAAATTTTAGAAAGAAAATATTCAGATTATTCAGTAGATGAACAAATAATCCTTAGTCAGGTGTGTGATTTGATTTAATTTTAACCTATCTACAAAATTAGAAGTTTTCTTATTTTCATTCATTGATTCTGGCAGAAAACCTGGGCTCCCTGGGTCTAAAATAATGACTTTATTAATCATAGCATAGTAAACAGTATGAGCATCCATTTGCATTGGTTCCTCTTCTAATCTCAAGGCGGGCAATGCTGTATATCCTGGATGGCTAATTTATGCAGTGACTTTACATCTTAGCCTGGGATTATTGAGGCTTTAGAATCCATTCTTCTACCACAAGCAGTAGGAGAGTTTATGTTGTCTTTAAGATATTATTTCATTCCTCAGGATTACTAGCTACAAGCACAACCCTAAGAAATTATCTCCAGTAACAACGGCCAGGGCATTACATTCTTGGTGTACCAATCAAAAGCTGTAGGAGCAATTCAAAGGCCCACACAGGAACTGTTTCTTAGAACACTCAGGAATCATTAGCCTCTGAAGATAGTTATATGTACAGCAAGATAAATGAAGTAATGTCCAAAGGATGTGGGAAATATATCCTGCATATAATAGTTTTCTTAAACTCTTATGTTTTCAAATATCGCCCTGCTAATAGACATCTTCAACAATGATTATTTGTTTATGATCTACCCTTGGAGTGGTTGTTGACCTACTTGAGAGACAGAAAGTATAGTTGGATAGGTTAGGCAGAATGCTATTCATTGGAAACTGATTTGTGGTATTTTGTTTTCTTATAGTCTATTCTGAATTCTTAAGTGAGTGCCTTTTCCCAAACATTTCAATGTTGTGCATTGCGCTAGAAATTCATGTAGGTTATGGAACTCATCTTTTAGGTTAAAATACTCCTAATGCAAGTTGAGTCTTAACAATTCGTGCTTTTGTGATAATAAATAATAGCAGTACTCTGGCTGTTCTTAGCTTTAGTGAGTAGGAGGCATATTGAAGAAAGGGAAAGAATTATGTTCATGTAAATCAAGCATTCTTTTTCACCACTCACCTGCCCACCTGTCTTAAACTGTGACTTGCTCCCTTTTGACATCTGAAAGAAGTGCTAAGGAAGCCCGTTTTGAGCGAGGAAGTGTCAGAAGCTCTGTGTTCAGTTTTTGGTTCTGCCACTTAGTGATTTTTGGACATTAACTTACTTAATCTCACTTAATATCTGAGTCATAAAGCTTTTCTGGAATTAAGTGAGATTCAAGTGTGAAAGTCCTTACTAAATTACAAAGCATTATACAAATATTTAATTTCCAAGTATTATAAGTACTTGAGCTTTTCTCTGTTAAAGAAGACAGACTGGAATGTATGTTTTCTCTCAATGGTAAGAGAATAATGTAGCTTCTAACCTGAACATTTTTGATCACACTCTACCTGCTTTTAGAAAGTTTAATAAAAAAAAGATGGCTTTGTAAGAAGCTACAATTTTAATTACTTGGAAGCCACATGTATTTGGCTAACTAAATTCAGAGTCCTTTATTCAGTATTAAGTAAAATATGATAGATTCTAAAACTATATTTTTATTTTATTGTTATCTTCCATTGTTAAAATGCAAGTGATGGTATTTGCAAATATAGGAGTAGTTGGCTAAAGGAAATACTGTTTGTTTTTATATGGTAAAGGATATTGCTAAAAGAAGTTTAAAATGTGTGGAAAATATGCCTGTATGTATTACGCAAGTGTTAATCAAACCATTCTTTCCCTTTGGCTTCCTGAAAATATTATCATTAATTTCCATGAAGAGGAAAATGAATAAATGATTATATAATTGAATCACCCCTATTTTAAGAGTAAAATTCTTTCCTTTTGATTGATTTATTGACAGGAGCTTCGAAATAATCTTGTCTTTTGAATCTACTAGTCTTTTTAGTATCTACAGTATGTTTAGTTAACCACTCTAATGGCTGGTTTGCAATCATGCAAATTGCTAGAGATTGATAAAATACTCAACATGTAAATGAATTTAAGTATCATATAATATTAGACAATGAGGAAAATTATGCTCCTAGAATCCAAGTAGGTTCTTTAAGCCCATGCATCTGAATAGTGGTCTGAATTCTTCAGATCATTCCCGATTTCCTGTTTATAGCAATGCTCATTAAGTATCATGTCTTATCTTAGACTTTTAGAAATATTTTAAACCAATAACTTTTCATCTCTTTCTAGGTAGTTATTACTAGTAAAAGTGGAGAGATCTTGTATCGTATTTCACCATGGGCAAAGTATGTGGTTCGTGAAGGTACTAATGTGAATTACGATTGGATACACTGGGATCCTGAACACCCATACAAAGTGAGAAAAAAATTTTTTTTAAATACTTGTTCTAATATTTCTAGAAAAGCTAATTATTACTTTTATAATTTTATAGTAATTTCCAGTGTCGTTTTTCACCACTATTTTAATATTGCACATCATAATGCTCCTGTTAGGCTATACATATATCAAAGTCCATCATGTATAGCTAATAAAATATACAATTTTTTAAATTTTATGTTTGTTTTTGAGACAAGGTCTCACTATGTAGTTCAGTATATCTTCGAACTCACTATGTAGGCCGGTCTAGTCTCTTAACTCACAGTAATCTTCCTGCTTCAGCCTCATGAGTTGCTGGGATTACAGGCATGTGCCAGCATGCCTGGCAGTTTTATTCTGTATTTGAAATTAGAGAAAAAACACTTAAGTTTCAACATACTAGTTGATAAGATATGCTAATTTGTTTTTACAGCTAGGATTTCTGATTTTCAAAGACTCTTCAAATAATGTAGTATTTCTCATTGTCACAGTTTTGAAGCAAGGTCAGCATTCGTAGGAACAGCAAATTGGGAGGGCTATCTTAGAAGTGTATTAATTAGGGTAAATTTTGTAACATGTTGATAAATACTTTACATTTGATATCTATATATGCATTTCTTGGCTTTTGTACTTTTTAATCTTAGGCTAAGAAAACCCCAATTTTCTACTCAATGATAAGGCATAAGCCATTACACAATTTTTATTTCTTAAAATAGGTTTATTAATGAGACCTAAGTAGGATTTTTATTTTTGCAAAAGAAAATGCTGTACAGGTAGTATAGTGAATGCCTTTTATATGTGAGAACAGTCTCAAGTGTTTGAGTTTATTCACCATTTTATATAACATGCTTGATCAGTTAGTGTCATATGTGAATTCATGGTTTAATTTTATATGTAATTTTGTATTCTGTAGTTTAAGCATTCCAGACCCAAGAAGCCAAGAAGCCTGAGAATTTATGAATCTCATGTGGGAATTTCTTCCCATGAAGGAAAAATAGCTTCTTATAAACATTTTACATGTAATGTACTACCAAGAATCAAAGACCTTGGTAAGTAATAACTATGATTTTTATTCAGATAAAATTTTAATGAGTCTGTTCTCTTATTAGAAAAGCTAATTACAAGTGTCTCTTTTTTGTGTTGAGAGATTAAATATGTAATAAAAATGCATTTTATTTCAGGCTTTTAGAATTGCCCTGTAATAGTGATAGCATAGAGAAGAAAAATAGAATAAGATAGAGTGTAAGAATTCAAGATACTCTTCCAATTTCAATTTTAAGTAATGTGAACTGATGGCTTTCAAAATTGTAGATAAATATGTGAGCATAATTACTTTTCTACAGGCGATAACCTTTATTAATTGAAGTGGTCATTGATTATAGCTTGTTCATTTTAGTATTTTAGGGAGACAATCTTATATTTTTAAGGTGCCTAGAACTCAGATTGAATTGGAATCATTGTATAAAGTCTCTGTCAGGATGACTTATTTAACAAACATTTATGGAACATCATTTCTGTTATGCATGCAAGATTTTCAAGTATTGGATTGTCATGATAAAGACCCTGTCTTCATGAGAACAATCAGTATAATAAATCAATATAATGAATTATTGATTCAGTATATGTTTGTCTGTTATTTTTCTTATAAGTAATGCTTTTAAAATAATTTTACAGCATTATTAAAATCTGTTCCAATGACTAGACAGGAAGATAGAATAATTTAATTATACTACTTTTGCCAGAGAGTCCATATTTTGGCTACAGGTAAGGCTTATAAGTCAGGGTTAAATTCTTCAGTGACATATAAATCTTAATTACCTATGATGCCAAAAGTAAAATTCCAGTAAATAAATAAATGCATAAAGAACTTGATATTAGTTTGATTTAATATATACAATGCTAAAATTTTTGTTTAGAAGATGTTCTTTGATTTTTATTGAATGATAAGTTATTTATGACCAGTTTTTACATGTTCAGCAGTGCAAGGATTCTCTCATTCATGTTTATGTTTACATGCCTAGCCAAGTATTTAGAACATAAATGAATCTCAGATTTATTAATTCTATAAAAATTAGTTATAAAGCCAGGAATGGTGGTACACACTTCTCATCTGCGGTCTCTGGGAAGCTGAAGCAGGAAGACTGCAAGTTTGAGTGCAGCTGGAGCAGCTTAGTGACTTTAGTGAGACTCTGCCTCAAAATGAAAAAAAGGAGGGGACATAGATCAGTGTGAAGATCCTAGATTCATTACTCATCCCTGAAAAAATTTGAGCATGATCATAAGACTATTTATTTTATAGTAGAGAAATAAATTATAAACTCTAAATTTTGTTCCAAGATATAGAATAAATGATTATGTAATAGGCATAAAATTTTATGTCTATATTCCTATCACTCCTGATAGAGCTCCTTTGATTTTATTACAATAACTTTTCAGTATCTTATGAAGTCATGGGCACATACAATTGTATGTTCTTCCTTAAATATATAAATCCATAATTCCAAATGTGAATTTGTAATTATTTGAGTATTAATGATGTACTGAATATAAGCCTGAGAAAGTACTGTATAAGAGATCAATAAGATTAATTTGATACTTTTGTTTGTAAGTACAGGTATATATTTTAATGAATTGGTAATGAATATGAACTTAAACCTTTAGAAAATTGGAAACCTTATGTGAATTATTAGAACACAATAATAATATTTTCTATGTAGGATACAGAAGTATAGCTTTCAAAGCAATCAAATAAATTATATTCGAAAAATTACCAAGTTGTATTTTAAAGAAGAAAAACTTGATTTTTTCAGAGTTTATAGAAATTAAAGATATTTTTCACTTATTACATCCTTAGAAATACTTGTAAATGTTATGGATTTTTAAATACAATAGTCACCATTTTGTGTCACTTCACTTAGTATTTGAATAAAATACATTGAAATGGAGAAATGAAAGTGCTGAGTAAGGGTGTGTGTGTACACACATACATGCACACATACAACATGTGTAAAAGTAGTGGAAAGTGGAAACATTAATAATGACTTATAAAAGCTACTTTGTAGAAAAAATTAATTGGGTGATATTTCTTGTGTTGTATGTTAAAAAATGAGTGAAATATAAAGAAAAAGGCAAAATTAAAAATATGTATCATATAGTCAGTTACTTATATTCACTTACAAAATGTTCATGTATTCAAGTACAGCTGAAGTCTAGCATATACAAATTGCCATCTTTAATATTCTAAAGCCAATTAGAGAGCAAATTTGCATATCACTTATTGCTTGTTAAGATGAAGACATTTCAACTAGCTAGTCAGAATCTAACACTAATAAACTAAGAACCCGATTTTGTGTTAGGTCAAACAAGCAAATAGTGTTTAGTAGTAGGACTTTTGAAGATGATCACAATTTATAGATTATTTATAAATAAAGTTATGTTTTTTGGCTGCTTTTCTTCATTGCTTTTTTTAAAAAAATTGTGTCTTTGAATCTCTGTTTGACCTTTGCTTATATAGGATACAACTGCATTCAATTGATGGCAGTCATGGAGCATGCTTATTATGCCAGTTTTGGGTACCAAGTCACAAGCTTTTTTGCAGCTTCAAGGTAAAATTAAAGTCTTACATTCATTTTCACTTAATTAAAACTGAATTTTCACATTCTACGTGGTGTTGTTTTGTGGCCTATTTTGTATTAACAGAAGTAATTGAGCTATACATTTTCTTTTACCAAAGTCATGGACTCACTTCCCATCTAGACTTACAGTTTGGCCCTGATATAATGTGGCTTTTCATGGAATGACTTTTGATAAAGAATGTCTATTTACCTGTTGAAATTGTCACATGGTTAGAGGCCCCATTCTTAAGTTGGAAAATGGTGTCCTATAGAATCCTTTTTTGGAAAGATATTGACTCACGTAGGAAGGTCAGTGAGCAGGTCCGTGGTAGGATATATAACTATGTACAGAAGGGCTGCACTTCTGAGGCTGGAATTTCAGGCATATAGCTCTCTGGATATAAAGACCGTAGAGGGTTCTATGTGGTTGAAGAGGTCTGACTTGCATAACCACAAATAGAACAAGTGCAACAATGTCTCTGTCTCACCTAAATTTATAGTTTGGTGATATATACATATTAATCCAATAATCATGTAATATGTGAATTCTGCTGGTAATAAAAACTAAGAAGAAAATGGTGCTATAGTAGCATAGAATTGGGGATCTTAACAGTTTAGATAAATTTAAGTCTGAATTAATGTTGGAACTGATACCTAAAGCATGATTAATATTAGCTAGAAGAAGGGATGAATTGGGCGTAGGTAGATAGCATTCCATACAAAGAGACAATAATTATCCATTTCCCTGGTTTTCTTGTAGTAGTTATACTTGAATAAGTTATCTCTATTTACTGTGTCTTAATTCTTCATTCTTATTTTTTTCTTTAACTATTTTTTTTTGAAGCACAAATAAATAATCCAAAGGTGCACCTCAAGGTCCTAGGAAAATCATCTAAACTCCTGTTCTTTCTTGAACTCATTCAAATAAGTGGTTTACTGAAAGTGTTTTTACTAAATGTACTTATGACTTTCACATCATTAAATACAATGCTTAGTTCTTCACTTATTTGAACTGTCAGTATTATTTGTTACAATTTCATACTCTTACCTTCTTGGAAGTATTTTTTCCCTTGGCCTCCAGCACATCTGCTGTTGTATTTCCCTCTTTATTTATTGCTTATTCTATATTTCCTTTGTTCTTTCCTCTGCATCTTTCTAACTACTACATATTGTTCCTCCCATTGCTCCATCCTTGCTTCCTTTTGCTTCTATATCTATTTTTATGACCTTAATACATTCTCTATGGCAATTCTCAAATTTTAAATATTCATTCTTGGCCTATCTTGTGAACTTCAGATGATGTTTCTAAGATATCTAATACATATCTCAAACTGAATGTATCCAAAACTAAATTCCTGATCTTATCTTCCAAAACTCCTCCTTTTACCACTTCCTCTAATTAAAAAAATATTGCTTTCATATTCCAGTTGTTCCAGCCAAAATCTTGACATTACACTGTATTATTTCATTTATGTCTCTTCCTATACTTTAGTTATTCTGAAACCTACCCATCTGTTACTTAAAAATGTATCCTGTTATGGTTTGTGTTTAGATGTCCCTCAGAGCCTGATGCAGTTATAGGTGGGGCTTTTTCAGAGGTGGTTGGATCTAGATGCTGAGTTTGATTCATGGTGCAATGTGAGGCCCAAGGGAACTAGGATTAAGAGTTTGAGTGCTACCTGCCCTAAGTAGCCTGGATAGAGAAATAAGGGATAGAAAGAGCTGTGGTTGTCCTCAATGCTTTCCTACCTTCTGCCCAACATGAACTATTTCTCCTCTGTGACACCATCTGCCTTGCAGCCAAGTGATTATGGAGTGAAACAAACTGTGAGCTAAATAAACCTTTCCTCCTTTAAATACAGTGGTAGGTATTTTGTCTCACCAACAAGAAAAGTTTACTAAGACATAGCTCAAACCTGATTTTGCTCCCCTGGGTCCACTGTAGCCTGATCTGAATTAACATTCTCTTCCTGGATTATTTCAGTAGCTCTTTAATCGGTTTTTTTTCTTTTATCCCTTCTTCCCTAACTTTTCCTAATTCACATGTCCCTTTTCTATACCATTGCCAGAGTAATTATTTCAAAGTGAATATTAGATCAATCATTCTCTTGTTAAGAATGACAACCAAAGGCATTACACTGGCTCAAAAGGACCCACGTATCTGCATCTTGACTGACTCTTTGGGCATAAAAATAACTCTTTCTCTCTTGACCATTCCACTTGAGCTTTACTACGCTATTTGTTTTTCTTTAAATTGCCTTAGCTCATTGCTGCCCCTATGCCTGTGTACCCACTACTACTATTCCTTCTGCTCCAAACTCTTTTCTGCTTATTCTAGACCTTTCTTCTTTCTTGTTCAGGTATTACCTTTTCCATGAAGCTTTCATGGATGACTCTATTTAAAAAAGAAAACCTGCCCTTTCCACTAGTGGCTTTTCTTCATTTGTCTTTAGAACATGGACGGCTGTGTGGTATTCCACATATGTTGCTTGTCTCCTAATTAGGGCATAAATTTTATGAGGACAGTGATTTCACTGCAGTATGTATAGAGCATAAAAAATGTTATGGCACATAATGGATAACTCATATATTTGGTGAAAAACACAATGAATGAATGAATGAATGAATAAAGAATGAAACTTTAAGGCTGTTCACTTACTGAACATGTTGTTCAGTGAGTGGGAAAAGGCTATGTCCCTGGGATAAAGAGAAGAAGGGGTAGACTATCATAAGATAATCTAATATTTTTGGAAGAAGCCAGAATAGGCAGGAAACAAGGCCGTATTAAGGATAGTGATTTTTAATCTTAGGACATTAGGAACGCAGTAGGGTTTTCTGTGAAGGATGACACGATCGTATTTACAGTCTAAAAAGATAGCTTATGTTGGTTATGGGAATTGACCATGATTTACCTATTACCAAGTATTGTACTATGTCATAAGAAAGCAGATTTTTATAGTCCTTGTGCTCAAGGAGAGGAAGAGAGACTGTAAACAATTACAAGGACAATTATTTATTTAGAGGACAAAGTTGATGCTATGGTAGATTGGAGTATATAAGACATTTTATACCTTAAGGCCACCTTCTCTTGGCAATTTGTTTTTTATTACACACAGACTAGGAGACTGCTTTTTATGGATGCATGTGTGCCTATGAACTACTCAGTTTTTCTACTTGGATTGTGACAGACATGGCATATT